GTTATCACACTGTCTCAGTGCAGCACAAACGAATGATTGTGACTCCACACTCTGCAAGAGAATCAAGCACTGCCTATAAAGAATATCCAACCATATGCAGCTATGCATGCCCTTCTATTTGACCCTTTCAGATAAATAAACAGCTAAAACTGTCACTTGGTATATAGCAAATTACAGGGGCACATATATAGTAGGGAAATATAGATATTAAAAATTATATTTTAATACTTTTCAAATATATAATAAACATTATATATATTATACCACTGCAAAAGAGATGCAGTAAAGTTGATACAGCTTATGTTCCCTTTACTTGTTTTCATCTTTAATTTAAGTTTAACATTTGTTAGTGTTTTGCATAGCAACTTTTCTACTGGAACTGTAAAGCCTGCAATACCACATGCATGCCTATTGGGAAAAAGATCTTCTTTTTTGCTTTATATCGACTCTTAGAAATGATTATGCACTTAATGGTTAGAAAACGAGTGTATTACCATTATCCTCCATCCAGTGAGCAAACAAATTATTGATGGAAGTGTTTTACTTTGCTGACTACACTATGTTGATTGAACTTTTTAGCAAACTGTTAATCTATTAGGTGAAAACAAATAGATGTAAATGTACAGAGTCTCATCAATATCTTTTAAAAATGAATTTGCTGCAAGTATGGAATCTATTCTGTAAAAGCTGATTGACATTGTTGCAGAACCTAGTAACAATTTCAGCATTTTCAGCTCATCCCAGCACACACACATGAAGCTACAACTTCTTTGACTGAAAAGTTGCAAGAAATATATTTATTCCCTGGCTGATGGGTGGTGTGGAATAGCTGGTGGGTAGGCGGTGGTGGGGGGGATGGGGACTGGCTATCTATAGCAGCTGTCTGGGGAGTTGTGCTGGTTGCTAGCAGAGTTCAGTGCTCATTTTCTGTGCAAAAGGGCCTGTGGGGGAAAGAAAGGTGTAGATGGTCACTGTCCCAGAGTACCTCCAGGTTACATAAAATTGTCTGTGTGTTTTGTTCTTATACAGCTGCCAGGTCTATACAGAGGGAGTGAAATTGTGAATGCCTTCCTGGAAGGTGCTATATGGAAAGAGTATAAGTCAGTTTTTCACTGACTGTTTTCTGTAGTCTCTCTTACCCTATGCTTTGCCTGATGCGGTCTATATCTAGTTATTGTGAGATGCCAGGAGCATATAACAGCGGTGCCAGAATATAGTGCATTTGGGCAGCCAACGGCAATAAGTACTGGGAAGTCATTGAAAGCCACTGGTGATTTGATGACTTAAATCTAGAGTAACTGAGAAAAGGTTCTAGCGTTATTTCTTTGTAAAACTTAAGTACCTTCCGAGCATGGCCTTTGATCATAAACTGAAATGGAAAGACTTTAATTAAGAGCAGGCACAAAAGTTTCAGTGATGATAATGATTCAGTCTTCTGAACTTTGACAGTGTGTGTGGATGTGGCTTCGACTGCCATGAACGACTGAAAGAAGTGTTCTTTTTAATCATATAAAGCTGCCTTATGGTAAAGGACAGTTAATTAAAGCTGAATTTAGCATTTATGCCTAGAGCAATTTGACACTTGGATATATCTGTGATAAATGCACTAGAAAGTATAAGGATAGCTACTCACTGCGTATTGCTCTTCATGAGATTTGGAGAAAATGGAATGTCTCATGACTATCCACCCAGTGGAATGTCTCATGACTATCCACCCAAGTGCAGTAGTGTTCTTCCTGGTGTGACAAGCTGGGGTGTACACAAGATAGCTGTATTATTTTACAAACTAAATCACTGGAATCAGTTCTTGTCGTAAACATTTTGCATTTGACCTAGGTTACAAGCTGTCTTTCTTGCTTACTTTTTTGATCTCTTTGTACATCTCTTGTCTGGGAAGGTGAGGCTGTAATGTGCGTTATTCCAGAGATGTTCTAGTCTTGCCCCCATTCTGAGTAAACTCACCAGTCAGAGTTTTGACTTTTGCTCAGGAAAATCTAGAGCTAATAATGAGAAAATTGAAATTCTAACAGAATATTGGGTACTTGAGATTAAAACCTGCCCTTTTTTTGGTTTATATTTATATTTTGTTGTTGTTTTAACATACTATTGGGGATGCTAGGGAAAAGTTGGTTTATGACAAGGTTTTAAAAAGTACAACAGTTTGTTTAATCAGGTAATATACTAGGACAATATTTGCTCTTTTAAATCCTTTGTATTTCTCTCTCTTTTCCTCTTTAATTTTTTGGACTGGGACTAGAGCTGAGTTGTTTCTTATTTCTTATATTTGGTTGCAAACTGTCTGACTTTGTGTTTGTAATGATGTTTGCCTGGGATTATGTGAATGTCTCATAATAGGACTCTAATAATTGCAGCATTCTGGGAATTCAAGAATATTTGGGAACTCAATCAATAGGGAGCATGACAGTGACCGGACTATAGCTCCCATAGATGTATTTACATACACATATATGACTTCTCTTTTTATTGAATATTTTTAAACTGTTTCTAAATAAAAAAATACTTGCATACACTTGGATAAAAAAATCCAGTTTACTTTCAAAAGAAATAATATTTCCGAGAGAAGAGAAGAATAGTCCAATGCCAGTCCCCCAAACACAATATTTATGTATATTTGGCTTTATGACTGCTGGTTATAAAGTGGCTAAAACAAACAAAAAATTATGTAGCTGAACTGAAAACTGAAGCTTTTTCTACCCCTTTCATTGTGACACTAATGAAATTGGACTTGGAACTGCAAACATACAACATTTTTTTTTTTTCCCTTATTTAACTCCATTTGAAATTACAAATTGTGGTTTTGTTATGTTAGAAGGCTTATACTTCAGGTTTTTTAGGTTTTGGTATCCCTTTACACTGTTTTTCTGACTCAGAAAAACAGATAAATTCTTTTGGACTAGGCTTCATCCATAAAAAAAGAAAAAAAAAAAAAGTCTATAATTCTAAGTGTATGATTCTGCTGATTTCATTAGGCATAAAAGATACTCGGGGTGCTTCTTGCTTTAAAGCACACCTTAGTGTCATGCAGAACCAATTACATATGTTTTAAAGTACGTGCTGAACTGCTGCTGGGTTACAAAAGCATCTTCCTATAAATCAGTGATGAAGAAGAAAGTTCATTCTTAAGTTATTTGTTCATGTTTCTTGAATAAATATCCATCATAATTAGAAAATGGAAATACCTCACTTCTGCACTGGGCCAGATGTTACCTGTTTGAGGCTAGGATATAGAACAGATTTTTAACACCTTAAAATGACATCGGATTTTTGGCCTGGCATCGATGCCCCTTCTTTCTTTTAAGAAACAGATCTGTTGTAAGTTATTTTCCCAATTTTCCCAGCCCCCAAAAGGATAAGATGGATATCACCAACGGTGAAATATCAGTTATCTTATTTTCATTTGGGACTTTAAATATTTACAGGTAAATTTTAGATACAAATTTTGTGTTGAAAATTTTGTACTAATGTTCTGCAGCATGCCAAATGCCTCAGACTTGCTAATGTTACATTAGTGGAAAAAATCCAAATGTAAAATTACATCCAAATGAGGACTCCCACAGATTTCTAAAATATGCTGGCCTTCATTAAATTAATTATAGCATTTCTTTATTATCTTCAGGCTTTTGTGAGAAAAAAAAATAGTTCTTACTCTAGAGAATAAAGGGATAAGAGCTGACTGAGAAAAGCTATGGTCCTACTTTGTCATGTCTCTGCAGTAGATCTGTGGTTGGCCCTTTCTAACAACATGTTGTAGTTGGGATAACAAACAGACAAGTAAAATTGTCTTTATTTTAAAGCACGGTTTATTTTTTATATTGTAAGTTGCAGTAGAATAAAATAATTGGACACGTTTGAGGGAATGGGACAAAGTAAGTCTTTTGCTGACAAATTTGCAAAATTAGTTTGAGTTTTACTTTGAAAGCAAGCCAAAAATTTGTCCTTGGGGGGCTGTGTGTAAATGGATATCTGTTATTTAGGCTAGGTAATTGAACAGATGTGAATTCTCAGTACATACCTCCCTTGTGTGTTGCTGAAGCTGGCATCTTTTTACCAGCAAGCTAATCCAATGGGCTATTTTGGCTCAGGCAAACCATGTTAGAGACAGTGTTACAGAGGCTTTCTTATACTACTTCTGTCTCATTTTTACTGTTTAATCACTTCTCTGTTCTCAAGTAACATTCAAGAATAAAATTGTATAGACACTAATCACCCCCCCACCAAAAAAAAAACAAACAAAAAAAACCACACAAAAAAAACCCAATACAAAAACAAACAAAAAAACCCCACACCACCCTGTACTGTCTTTTGGGAAACATAGAATTAAGAGGAAATCAGGTTGTCCCATGCTTTTCCTTGTGAAATGAAAGTAGTTGTGTTAATGGCAGCTCCACCCAGCAGAAAATTAAAGGGACAACTGGAGGCCCCATGTAGGGGAGAATACAGGGACTTCCCTTCTATGAATGCCAACAAAGATCTGCCACCTCAAAGATGCTCAGGAGGTGGTAGGAGGAGACAGGGCCATACACTGAGACTGGGGATCAGGATGTCTGTTGTACATCAGCCTGCAAAGGCAAGTACTTATTTGGAGAATACTTTTTAATGTACTGTGTTCTTTCATTTCTGGTCAAAAGTTTTGGTTCCAGATAACCAGTCTAGATGAAGAATTCTGGCATTCAAGTTAGAGCCAAAGCACCTGATTTTAGGAAAGGAATGATTGAGCACAGTCTTTCTGCCTTTAGAGAATCAGGAAAGTTCAGAATGAAAAATGTGTAGTGGGAGAGACTTCCTCCAGAGGAACCAGATCTTTTGATTACATTATTAATTAATTGTTATTAAATTATATATATACCTCCCTTTAAATTTATCACCAAAATGTCGAAAGTATGAGGAAAAAATGCATGAGCACTTCTCTCATTCCTATTGGAAAGTAACAACAAAATGTAATGTTTTGTTTGTCTTTGCTTTTTTTATTCCTCTCTCAGGTCCGCACCAGTGTCCTACCTGATCACAAGGAGGCAAGAGCAGATGTTGGAGTAAGCAATTTTTCCAATGAAGAGAAATGGTGTTTTGCCTAGCTGCTAAATGGGAGCTGGCAAGCTTTTTTAATAGCAGAAGTCGGGTTAAATGAATAAAAACATCAAGGCAGGACTAATAGTCTCAGTGATTGATGTAATCCCATTCATGTATTTCTTGAAAATCCTTTTCAACTGAAATTATCCTGAGGCAAGCACAACTATCCAGACTTCTGCTACTGCCATACAAGGAATCTGGGTAAGATTGAGAGCTTGGAATTGCATTGCCTCAATGAGCATGGCCTGTCGCCATCTGGTTTTCATGGGCAGAGTATAAAAAGTTCTGCTGTAGGAGTTGACTTTGCATTCACTTTAAGAATAATGTCACAGGTGACATATGGAGGACTTATTTTCCCCTGTAGGTCTGTAGAACTTTTGGGAAAGGTATTGGGATGTCATTTCTGGTTCTGAGAAGGCTAGAAACTCCCAGATAATATAGACCCCTCATGGGGGTGGGAAATGTTGGTCCTGCTAGACTGAATAAAAGACCAAACACCATCTGGTGCAGGTGTCAGAACTATCTCTGCAAACATTTAAAATAACTGGATTTTTAAATTTTTAGCCTAAGGTGTTGACTTTCCTGCATTACCAGGGCTTCCTTGGCATAGTTTCCAGGACTTTAGCTAGAGTTTGAAAAATCTGTAGTTCAATCTTAGTGAAAAAATCAATGTGCTTTAACTTTTCATGTAGCTATTAGGGAGACTTTTCTCTTTGGCTAGCTGAGATTATTTGTCAAGCTATTCAAGGCACATATCTTAAGATTTATAATTGTAAGTACCCCACTAACAAAATTACAGAGGAATGTTACTCTGTAATTAGCATTACAGCAGCAGTTCTGTTCAAAACCTACTCTCCAAGTCATGTGTGCAAAGTTAGAATGGTTTGTAGACTGCCAGTTCAGGCCCCAGGGTAGACTATTTTTATCTAAATCAGGATGAAAACTGTATTCTCCAGCATTGTTTGAAACTAGACCCCTTGAATGTTAGTATAACTCTCTTACTTTGGGTCATGGGATCATTCATAATTTTATTTTATTTTGCAAGTAACTTTGAAATGCATTGTCAGGCAAAGCAAATTTTATTCCAAATAAATAGAAAAATATGAAACACACAAATAAGTAGAATTGTTTTAGGCCCATAAAATTATTCACCTTTAATTTCATGACCCTGGAGAACTAGATATGACAGAGATGGTTAGTGGGTACAGTGACCAAAGCTCCTAGGTTGTAAAGAGCGCGGTGTAATTGCTTCTTAGCCCTGATCATATGAGGACTCAGGGTTCTTAAATGGATTTATAGTTCTATTGTGCTGCAGAAAGAAGCCCCAAGTGACCCAACCTGTATCAGTTTCATTCCAAATATCCCTCTCCCTCTTTTCAAATGGTAAGGTTGCAAATGCAAGCACCCAATTGCCATGAAATGCCTGAATAATGAATGGCTGCTGTATAGGTGCTGTGTTGCAGAATGCGTTCTTATTTTACCAAGACAGGTATACTCTTGTAAGATGATAATTAAACTGTGCTAACCATGCCACCATAGACTTTTAGTGAAGAAATGCTGTCATGTTGATGGATCTGAAAGAAGGCAGATCTGTGTTCACTCCAGCAAGGCTGTGCATCACCATGTGTCACACCTGGACATACTTGTAAAAGTACATGTTCCATTTTGGCAGTGAAAACTAACCATGATCTCTGCTTGTACGGCTCTGGTATTTTTCTTCGTGTATTTTCTATAGGCTTTTTTTTCTTCCTTACTTCCAGTTCAGCACTTCCCAAATCCACTGTTTTCTCAGCCTTTCCTAGACTGAGCTTGCATCTTTTTTCCTTTGATTCTTAAGTGCCAACCAAAGCACAGGAAATCTAGGCTTCTGTCATTGATAGGAATGAGCCATAACTGATTATTTAGTTTAACAAATTGGAGAGCAGTGTTGGTGCTTACCTAAACAGAGAGTTGTGATTTGAACTGTATATTTTATATGCAAGAAAACCTATCTTAGCATGGAGCTTTACTGTTAACATTTAAACACTAGAAAGCAGGCTGCAGGATTTTTTCACCAGAGGAAGTTACGCTTCTCAGTAGCAATAAATTCTCTACTCTTTTTCCCTGAATAGGAAATTTGCTCCCTACGTGCAGCCTGTGTGACTCAGAGCAACTTGATTCTTCTTTAATTTGCATGTCCAAGAACATATATAATTTAGCCTGGAATTTGCCATTCCAACAGTAGAGTAAAATTACTACAATGTAATAAAAACACTTTGTCTTTCTTATTGCTTTCTTGCAAAAATTCAGCATAATCTTATGATTAAGAGCAAGTGATATCAAGTTGTATATTTGAAAGTTAAATGCCGGGAAGATGGTTGTAGACTGTTATTTTCTTCCCCATTGTTCCCAGGGCAAGAATACTACTGTTGGCCAAGGTGACCAAATGAGATTTTAGCCATGTGCAGTGGTATATGAGCAGAGGTTAAAAAATAACTAAAATGCAAAAGAAGATGCATTTGTTTTCCTCTCTGCACTATTTTCTTGATGACATGTGAAGGTGATTTTGACAGAAGGAAAAGATATAGTGGTGTAGCTTAATTTAACTTCAGACATTCTATTTTCATTAGCTCATTTCTTTGCACTTGTTCTGCAATGAATAGGTCCATCTTACAATGGAAATAAAGGAAACAAGTTCTTACAAGCACTGCCATAAACTAAAGGAATATAACATTTCTATTAATAAACTTGCAGTGAACTCAATGTAAAAACACTTTCTTATCAAATACATTCATATTTGGAATATATAGATGGTAGTGCCTAAGGCCTGAGGAAAAAGCATAGCAAGAACAACTTTGGTAAAGCACTGAAAACTTAGCATTTCTTGTAATCCAGAAATAAGAAATATAGAAAGAAGATGCAAAATGCAAACGTTTGTACTGGATGAAATTTTTCCTGTGGCTGTACATTTTATAGCCTGTTACTTTGTCAGGTTGTCAGACTGTTCCTAATGAATAAGAGAAAGGTTCTTGCCCTTAAAATCAGAGTTTAACAATTTACCAATAATCATGTTACAGATGCATTAAAAGAAATCTGCTGGATAATGTGTCAAACTACTATAGTAAAATGTAATATTTTTCTAGGCACAAAAGAAAGATTTCCAAGTGTGAGACCAAAAAAAAAGTAACAAAACTTAAAAAATTAATGGAGATGTTATCTTTTCTTTTTACTTTGTTTTGTAGCGAAGCTTCCTGGGCTGTACAACTTTTAGAGTAGGAGACTTGGTGAAGTCAAAGGAGCAACAGTTGACCCTTACCCTCAAGTAAGTGCTTTCCTCTGTTGTAAACCATGCTGAATTAATAACCCCTGGCATTTCACATCCAAAGAAGAACAATGAAGCTGGTGAAGTATCTAGAGAACAAGTCCTGTGAGGAGCAGCTGAGGGAACTGGGGGTGTTTGATCTGGAGAAAAGGAGGCTGAGGAGACACTCTCTACAACTACCTGAAAGGTTTTAGCGAGGTGGTTGTTGGTTTCTCCCAAGTAACAAGTGATAGGGTGAGAGGAAACGGCCTCAAGTTGTGACAGAGAAGGCTTAGATTGGGTATTAGAAAAAGTTTCTTCACCAAAAGGGTTATAAAATGTTGGAAAAAGCTGCCCAGGAAAATTGCTGAGTCACCATACCTGAAGGTATTTAAAAGATGTGTAGATGTGGTACCTGGGGACATTGTTTAGTGGTGGACTTGGCAGTGTTAGGTTTATGGTCGGACTTGATGATCTTAAAGGTCTTTTCTAATCTAAATGATTCTGTGATTGCTGCTTGACATGTTTTTGAAACTCTGTATTATTTCCAGTATATTAAATGTCAACTTGAAATGCTTCTATTTTCTATCATGCATAACATCAAAATGAAATACCAGTTCTTTAAGCTGGAGTTTTCCATGTGTCAGATTAGAAAAGGATAGTAATTTTTTGGTGTGATAATTTATAGAAGAATTGCAGGGAACTTGAAGTAGGGGATGTGCTTTCAAAGTTTCCTTTAGAAAGGAACATAAGGTTCTCTATTTCATTTGATATGCATGGTTTAAAGAATTACCACTGTACAGTTTGCTGGTTTGGTTACTAGGCATATTTAAAGACGTTGGACCTAATGACTTAAGGCTTCTCTCACGTGGAATTGTTTGCAGTCTCCTAAACTCGTTCTTACGTTACCATAAAAGCTGGCAGAGGAACTCTCAAAGACTCCTTTTGGGGTTTTAGAGTTATATGCAGCCAAAATCAAATGGCGGTGGTGGTGGGGTGATGTAGGACTACAGTGACACAGGGTACAGAGCTGTAGGAGAGTCAGAGCCAGTGTTCAAAAACTAGGGCTGGGCTGAACAGATATTTCTTAAAGCTGTTCAATGAAGAGAAGAGTTTGGTTTTCATGCCTGATACTGACTTGCATGGCTTAAGATGAATTGATATACAAATCAAAACTCTTTGAAGGTTAGGGGAAACCTTTTAGGTGGTGATTTTCAGAATGAATTCATTGGACTTTTATATAGTGCAGGGCTTTTGTTGAACTGATTTTTGCAAGCACAGTGGAGGCTTATTTGAGATTACTGGGTAAGCACAGGTAAGCTTCACACAGCAACTGCCCAAACTCACCATGTTTCCACATAGGCAAAATTTTGGGACTAAAGAGGCTGTGACTAGAACAATTGTGACACTGGTCTATGTTCTGCTTGGAATATTGTATGTAGGTGCTGTAGAAAAGTTGTGTCACATTCTTTATCATGTGCACATGAAGCCAGCCTGGATTTGTCCTGAATTACGACCCATTCAGCAGTGTTGTGGTATTGTCACTATCTCAAGGACACTTACGTTCTTTTTGAAATGGAAACTTCTTAAAGTATTTTGGGTTTATTACTGCACATGCCTTCCTAACACTAGTAGTTGCATATGTATGTGTAGTTCACAGGGCAAAGTTAACAAAATGCCTTGATTTTAATTTCTCCCAAACACAGAAAATGCCATGCCTAACAAGCAGATAACTTTGTTTTCTAACAAACAAAACTGATCAGGCAAAATGTGAACTGACTACTCTCTGTGGAAATGTATGGCTGGATAAATAAATACCACCTTAGCATTTGGAAGAGTCTGTTCTTACACAATTTCAAATTGTCTCAGTTTCTTTTGACAAACTTTGCCTCTGACATATTGAAAACTTGATCTGTAAGAATGCCTCTCACCATAATAATTGACAGAATGTAAAGTTTCAGGAAACTTTGAAAAGAATTAAGTATCTAATCCATCTCATTTGTAAACAGAAAGATCAGAATGATAACTAATAAGCAATAGATGTCAGTTTGCCAGGTTAGTTTCAGCTGAACCTCTAAGCCTCGTCAGATTTGCTTTTAATCCATATTTTTAGACTTGTATGTCCTCTGTGCAGCTAACACTAGAAGACAAATATTATAACGATTCAAATTAATTTGCAGATACATTAAATGGTAGGGTTTGGTTGGATTTTTTTGGTTTGTTAAACCAAAAAGATCCTAACCTTTTACATGTGGGACTGTTACCTGATTATGGCTCTTCAGCAACACAAAATTAGTAGAAATGTTCCAAGTTTCTTTGGTGGCAGTTTAACCAGAGCCGTCTAGTAATCTAAACTTGCTGTCTTCTAATTGCCCTATTATATTAGTAACCCTCAGGAGAATATGGGATATACCAAGGGACTTGTCAGAGCATGCAATTCTATTTAGTTCTTGTCGATACACTTTGGAAGGGAGTTTACCAGGGAGTGCCTGTGATTGAGATACTCTTTTCTTAAATCTGAAATAGAGATTTAAGGATCGGAAATAGCTCTGTGGTGTGCCCTGTAAATATTGTTGTGATTATAGAATCTGGTTACTTTTTCTCTGTTTTTTGCTGCTGTTATGCCTTGCCATTGTCATTCTAAGGTACAATGTAGCAATATAAAAGTGTTTTTAAAGGAATATTCTTGCATTTTTCTCAGTTATTTTGTGGAGGGCTGGCATACATCTACAATTCCTTACTGTTGACAAACTGTGGTCTGCTTTTTCCCTTTCCCCACCGTTGTACATTAATGGTGGTTAGGGACACAAAGAGGTTTTTATTTTGATTGTCCTTTCTTCTCTATAAAGGTGCCCTAAACCGATAGCTGAGAGATGTGTGCACCTATATCCCGTCATCCAAACCTGAACAGGTCAATTTGTAGAATAGCTTCAATGCTGACAATGTACACAACAGATGTTGGCAGAGGAATATAGTTACTAGAGACTTGGGATTGTACTTTTCAATATGAAATTTATAAAACCAGAAAAGCTTTCTGTAGACTTGAATGTTTCATTTTGCAATGGTAATGCAATGTCACTTGCTTCCAGATGTCTTATAGGGTTGTGATGATGAACAGGATAAAATGGGCTATTGATTAATACAAAAGGCATATTCAATACCAGAATATTTCTTAATATTGACTATCTGTTGCAGTGTATCCAATTTGGAAAAAAAAAAATAGCAAGCATACATCGTTTTTCTTTGTAAAGCTATTTTAGTAAATAATACTGATTTTTTTTTTTTCTTTTAGTTGATTTACATTTTAAGTTCAGTTTAGACGGTTGCTTTGCCGTGCCTTTCTTTTAAGAACAGTTTAATGTGGTTTTTTGCTTGGTTGAGGTCTATGGCCTTTTGTAAAGGGCTAGCAATTAGTAATTCCATTGGCGGCTTCCCCTGTATTTGCCCTGTTTCCAGGAAGGCCCTCTTTAGCTTGGGTGATTTTGGTATGATTTCCAGTAAGTTGTATGTAAGAAGCAGCAAAGGAAAAAGATAATAGAGTTCTTCTGTGCACTCTGTAAAAATAAAGCCCATCTGTCTGAGACACTCCTCTTAGTAGACAGTACAAAAGTGTAAGAAGGCTACTTTAATATAAAACTAGGGTAGTATCAATATCACTTGGAATCTTTGGCCTCTGTAAGCAGGAACTTCATAGTGATGGAGGGAGCTAACCATACAAAAACAAGAACTAGGATGGAGTGCATGAATTATACAGATTATTGGAGAGAATGTTCCTGTGGATGTCTGTCAATCATGTACCACACAGACTTTCTTTAAATGTGTGGCTGTACTTGACCTCTTGGACAACATCCGTTTGTCTATCAACCTTCTTTCTTTTTTAGTTGTCTTATTTTCATTAATCTTGGGCAGGACCAAACCTATTTCCTTTAAATAAAGAAGATAAAGTATAGTTATTTTTGGAAAGTTCAAAAAAATAACTCCAAGACTCCATTAAAGAAAGACCTGTTCCCACCCCACCCCCCCAC